CATTCTATATGACAGACAGACAGAGAGAAGACAAATGGATATATGTATGTGTAACCAGACTACCCCCCTCCCCCCTAAAGAAAAAAGAAAGAAAGAAAAGAAAAAAAGAGTTACTCGAAAACTCATGATTCCATTTGCGAGTTTTTACAGCGACCTCATCAGCCAGCGACCCCGAAAAACATTTCATAATAGGTGCTTTTTGCCTCCGTCGACTGATGATTCGTATCATTTATGCCGAAATTAACTATTATTAGTACGTCATTATTACACGTGGGTTGCATCACCGGATCATTTTGGCTGTAGAATGCAAGCGTAGGCTGTGGCATTAATAATTGTGGAGTCATTGGTGCGGCGATTCTGCTGGTTATGTTGTTTTCATTTTTTATGGATATATTAAATGATAATACACGTATAAACAAACAAGCACACACACATACAAGCGAAAAGAAAAGAAAAGAATAAAACACACACACGCACATACAAGCAAACAAACAAGCACACACACACACCTACAAGCAAAAGATCACACACACACACGTACAAGCAAACAAACAAGCACACACACACGCACAAACAGACAAGCAAGCGCATACACATACAAGCACACACCCAAACAAACAAACGCATACAGAAACCCATACATGTAATCAAACGAACAAACACACACACCTTTTCTAATTAGTGGCAAGAGTAACACTTGGATTTGAGTGTAATGATAATCTTTATAGATATCTTTGTTGATATACATTGGATAAATCACTTAATTTGATGCAACGATTTTAACAATAGACTCCTTTTTTGTAATAAGAGACTCATGCACATTCTTAGCTATACGTTTGTTTTTTGTTGTTGTTGTTTCTGTTTTTGCTAATGTTTTTGTTGTTGCAGGTGTTCATCTCGCTGTTGTAACTGTTCATGTATAAATTGTTGTAGATGTTGTTCACGTCGTTGTCCCTGATAGATAGATATATAGATTGATAGACAGAGAATAGATGGACAGATATATAAAGATATAGATAGATAGATAGTTAAAAATATAGATAGATGTATGAAGAGCTAGATAGATAGTTGAAGATATGGATAGATGTATGAAGATGTAGATAGATGTATGAAGAGATAGATAAATAGTTGAAGATATAGATAGATGTATGAAGATAGATAGATAGTTGAAGGTATAGATAGATGTATGAAGAGATAGATAGATAGTTGAAGATATAGATAGATATATGAGGAGATAGATAGAAGATATGATAGATATAGATAGATAGTGAATATAGATAGATGTATGAATAGATAGAATAGTTGAAGATATAGATAGATGTATGAAGAGATAAATAAATAGTTGAAGATATAGATAGATGTATGAAGATAGATAGATAGTTGAAGGTATAGATAGATGTATGAAGAGATAGATAGATAGTTGAAGATATAGATAGATGTATGAAGAGATAGATAGATAGTTGAAGATATAGATAGATGTATGAAGAGATAGATAAATAGTTGAAGATATAGATAGATGTATGAAGAGATAGATAGATAGTTGAAGATATAAATAGATGTATGAAGAGATAAATAAATAGTTGAAGATATAGATTGATGTATGAAGAGATAGATAAATAGTTGAAGATATAAATAGATACATGAAGAGATAGATAACTGGTTGAAGATATTGATAGATGTAAGAAGAGATAGATAGATAGATTAGATATTAATTAGTTGAAGATATAGATTGATGTATGAAGAGATAGATAAATAGTTGAAGATATAAATAGATACATGAAGAGATAGATAACTGGTTGAAGATATTGATAGATGTAAGAAGAGATAGATAGATAGATTAGATATTAATTAGGATAAGAAAAATGCATCAAGACTTTCGTTAATCACTTTTTTCTGATCAATTAAAGTGGCAATACAATATATCCATAGGCACAGAGAACCGAAAATGCCATATATATAATTGCTTAGACCTTCTGTTTGATTCTTATTACCATCCGAAAAGTATTTTAAATATTTTAAACATATTTCTCTTTTTTATTTTTTCCGAAAGAAGGTGTAATAATTTTGATATTTCCTTTTGCTTCTCTCTCTTTCTCTCTCTCTCTCTCTCTCTCTCTCTCTCTCTCTCTCTCTCTCTCTCTCTCTCTCTCTCTCTCTCTCTCTCTCTCTCTCTCTCTCTCTTCTCTCTCTCTCTCTCTCTCTCTCTCTCTCTCTCTGTCTCTCTCTCTCTCTCTCTCTTTCATTATCTATCTACACTTTTAATTTGCCTGTCTTTATCTATCTTGCTATCAATATTCACTTAGATATTTTCATATTTATTGTGTATACATGTATATTCCCTTTTCTTACGTTTTATGTTAAGCAATCTGCATACCTACCCATCTATAAATAACATTATCTACCTAACTTCAGTCTGCCTACCTGTCTATCAGTCTGTGAATTCTGTTTAAGTAACAAACTGTCTATTGATCAGTTTAATCACAAAGCTATCTCTTGAGTATTCTAACTATATATCAATCTTATAACTGTCTATCTGTTTAGATATCTTCCCATCTACTTGTTCAGCTACCTACCTGCTTGTATATCTACCTGTCTAGTCACCTACCTGTCTGTCTATCTGGTTATCCAACTATCTTTCAATGTGCATAACTCCCTATCTATCAATCTGTTAAACTAACTCTCTACCTGTTTAGTTACCTCTCTATCTACCTAGCTTCAACCTATGTATCAATTTACCAATCTGTCTACCTATCTATCAGTTTATCAATCTGTCTACTTATCTTTCTAGCAATCTTTAGTACAACCTAGTAAATTGTTTAAAGTATTCAAAATATCTATTAATCTGTACAATAAGAAATCTATCTCTTTAGCATTCTACATATCTATCACTTCGTATGATTGGCTATCTACCTGTTTAACAACTTACCTATCTACCTATTCAATCTATCTACCTGTCTATCTACTTGTCTAACCGTCTACCTGTTCACCTTTGTAGTTATCTAGTTATCAGTCTACATGGCAACCTATCTATCAATCTGTAAAACAGGATATCTACCTGTCCAGCTATCTACTTATCTATCTATCTAGCTATCAACCTAACTATCATTTTGCATAACTACCTATCAGTCTGTAGAACTATCTACCTATTTACCTGTCAATCTGTCTAGCTACCTACCTCTCTATCAATATGTATATCTACCTATATATCAGTCTGTATATATGACTATCAATCTGTTTAGTTACCAGTCTACCTGCTTATCTACCTGTCTATTTATATACCTATCACTCTTTCTAGTGATTTCTCTACCTGTTGGGTTACATATTTACCTCTCAAACTATCTACCTATCTCTCTAGCTATTTACCTGTCTATTAATATGTATATCTTCCGATATATCAGTATGTATAAATGACTATCTGTTTAGTTACCAGTCTACCTAGCTATCTACCTGTCTAGTTATGTACCTATCTGTCTTTCTAGTAATCTCTCTATCTGTTGGGTTACCTTCATATTTACCTGTCGAACTATCTACCTATCTGTCTAGCTATCTACCAATCTATCTGTCTAGCTATCTCCCTATCTATCTGACTAGCTATCTACCTATCTATCTGGCTAGCTATCTGCCTATCTATCTGGCTAGCTATCAACCTATTTATCAATTTGTAGAGCTACCTATTTATTAATTTGCATAGCTACCTATCTTTTAATTTGCATAGTCTCTTGTATATCAATCTGTATATCTACCTGTCTTTTAGTTTTTATAGCACTATATCATCCCTTAATAAGTTAACAATCTACCTACTAAACTTTCTAGCTAACTATCCGTTAAGCTGAACAACTACTACCAAGAAGTCAGTATGCATTGTCACTTAATGAACTGTCCAGCTGTTTGTTCATGTGTCATTTTGTTTCTGTATGAGTAGCTATTTATGGCATTCAACTTAATATGATTACGGGCTTACGTTTAAAAAAGCTTCTTTGTCATTATCATTTGTGTCATTTACACATAGATGTACATTATCTCTCTCTCTCTCTCTTCATCTATCTACACACACACACACACACACACACACACACACACACACACACACACACACACACACACACGCACGCACGCATGCACGCACGCACGCACGCACACACACACACACACACACACACACACACACACACACACACACACCACACACACACACACACACACACACACATACACACACAAACACATTTAAATATGCATGCATGCGTGTATGCAATTTTCTTCTCTCTTCATGCTTTCTACCAGTCTGCTTTTCTTTACTTTGCTTGCCTGAAGACATTTTTTTTCTCTCTTTCTTCGGTCTCACCCTGGCTGCCATCTTTCACTCCTGTAATAGACATCATAATTTTAGTTATCATGAATGAATTATATCGCCATTATGTCCAGAGATCTGTCCATTGTACCCCGCAGTAATTTCGTATTTTACACTGTGCGTTCCAGCCATTATCTTTTTTTCTTTTCTTTTTTTTTCGCTGCCTCGCCTACTCTGTCTCTTAATGATAAATCACAGGCCAAGACGAGGAAGAGGAATAAAGGAAATCATATATTTTTTAAATTCTCATTTCTGTTTCATTTTCTTTTTTCCTCCTCCTCCTCTTCTTCTTAATCTACCTCCTCCTTCTCCCCCTCCCCTCCCCCCCCACCACCACCCACCTCCTCCTTCTTCCTTCTTCTTCTTTTTTCTTCTTCCTCCTCCTTCTTCTTCTTTTCTTCTCCTTTTCTCCTCCTCCTCTTCTTCCTCTTAATCTACCTCCCTCCTTCCTTCCCCTCCACCTCCCTCCTCCTTCTCCCCCTCCCCCCTTCCCCCTCCACCACTCCACCCCCCCCACCTCCCCTTCTTCCAGCCCCACCTCCTCCTTTTTCCAGCCCCACCTCCTCCTTCTTTCCAGCCCCACCTCCCCCCCCACCTCCTCCTTCTTTCCACCCCCACTCCACCTCCATCGGTCCATCCCCAACCTCACCTTATATGCTGTACCAAGAAACTCAAACCCGCAGAAGTCACCGAGGTCGTCGCTTCGGAAGTGGAGGCGCGCGTGGTTCGAGGTGAAGAGCGTGCGGTCCGTTATGCCGCAGCCACAGAGCGTACTCCTGTTGGATGCGATGTTTATGGATATCTGTATTCTATTTGTGAGACGGGGTGGCACATGGAGTGAGAAGGGAGAAGTGGAAAATGCAATGATAAATGGGGGAGCGAGGAAACGAGGGAGGAACGGAGGAAGAAATGGGTTAAGACCGAGGCAAGAACGAGGAACTGAGTAATAAATGAAGTGGGAAGGAGATGAAGAACTGAATAATTAATGAAGTGCAAAGGACGAGGTAGTGAACAGAGCAAGAAATTAAGTGCGAAGGAAGAGGTGAAGAACGAAGCAATAAATGGAGTGCAAAGCAAGATTTGGGGATTGGAGATTGAAGAATATTAAGATGAAGAAGCAAGAAGGGAAGAGAAATGCAATAAATGGAAATCGATACAAAAGTTAAAGAATGAAGAGTTTGGGATACGATAGGATTACGAAAGTGGAAGTGAAGAACAGAATGAATGAAGTGCGTAGCAAGAGTTGAAGGATAGCGACGTTCGGAATGGAGAACAAAGGAAGAATTAGAATAAAAAGTTAATAAACGATTCTGAGTGAAGGAATGTACAACACGAAATAGGAAGGATTCACAAAAAGAAAGAAGAAAAGAAAAAAAGTAAGCCTACATTTATGTAAACACGTGTGTGTGTGTGTGCGTGTGTGTGTTATATCCCTCTTCCTATCGCTATTTATGTGTGTGAGTGTGTGCGCGCGTGTGTGTTCTAGCTATCTCGGGTTATGTGTGTGTGTGTTTTGTATTTCAAAAGCTGTTGTGCAGCCAAGGTACTTTAATACAAGTAGCGCCACTCAGTCTCGATGAAAATCCTAGTTGGCAACTGCCGAGCTAAGCCCTGCCCCTTCGCTTTCATTCAGTTCAAGTATTAACAAGATTTATTTTTTCTTTTAATTGTTTTCAATATATTTTACCGTTGCAATACAGAACTATTATTTAAAGAAACACTTACCATAGACAGTCGCACAAATTAACTGAGGCGAAAGAGGGGCGGAGCTAATGACGTCATCGCACTTAGAGTATGCCATTAGATATCATTATATATAACTAGATCCATGATTACTTACATAGTCTACTCTTTTATTCATGATAACGAAGTGCTCTATAGCATAAACAGCCATCGAATGTCAATCAAATTTTCGGGTTCAAGAAGCTAAATAGAAGTGGAGCTACCTGTCTTATATATACTTTATATGCAACTAATTAATAACTATTCCTTGGACTAGGATTAAAATGCAAAGTATATGAAATGGGAACATTGTTTTTATTTATTTTATTTCGCAATATTACCTTTAAGTTTATATTCTTATTCTAAACTTTATTTTCCTTGTTCCTAAGCTTTATTTCCCTTACTTCTTGTCTCTTTTTTTGTTTTGTTGTTATTGTATCTCATATATAATATTATATATATATATATATCTTATATTTGTTTATATTCGTATTATTATTCATCTACTCTCATTCTTCCTTTTATTCACTCAAACATTCTTATTCATTGATTAACGACGCAACGAACTCACTTCCCAATCGGTTCGCCAGAAGCGCTGAAGTCCGTGATCGTGACGCTGTCCTTCTTGCAGTGGCTCGACGGCTCCAGGTGGAAGTCCAGCCACGTAAGGACGATGCGCGTGCCGTGGGTCGACCAGACGTCCAGCGTGCAGTCCTGGTTGTGCCCGTAGTTCAGGGGGTATGATGGAGACACCACGAACCCGTACATCCCCGTGATATTGGTGGGTCCCGGGCAAGACACTGGAGGTCGAGGGAGAAATGAGTGAGAGGAAGAGGCAAAAAGGAGGATTACTTTTCTTCTTCTACTTTTCCTTTTGTTTTCATAAGGAAAGCCACACTTTTTTATGCT